AAGAATTCAGATGTTTCTTGCTATTCTTCATTTGGTGTTGGTTGTCTTTTCACTATCTAACCAAGATCTATTCGGCCCCTCCAAGTGGTTCAAGTTTTGATTGGATGTTCTTAAGTTGGGTTTGAAACAAAAGTCCTGCTAGAATTCCAAAAACCTATAATTTAATTCATGAGAAAGATGGGCTTGATTATTTCTCAGCAAAGAGAAACACCTAATAAGAAAAAAATAGGCAATTGAGAACCTTATTGAAGCACTTTTTGATTCAAGAAGATGGTGAGATTTCCTCAGGTCGAAGAAGATGCTTCCATGTATGAGTATCACTGTAGCCAATAAACTACTACTATAATGCATTGCGTTAGGAGTTGGTTTGTGAATCCATGCGATGTTGTTGTATCCTATGTCTTCAAGATCGGTCCTTAGTTTCCTCTTCTTCTGCTCTTTCTAGTATTGTCTTGGGCAGATAACAACTAGAACTCAAGAATGGTGGGTGTGGCACTTTTGTTGCTTGTTGTGCCAATACAACCACTGAGAAGCTTCCAAACCCAGTCATAATCGCTCATTTTTCTTTCAGAAGTTCGCTGTTTTTGCTAGACACCTTCTTACAATGGATAAAACTATCCCTACCTTAGATACCCACTAAAAAAGTTTTTCAGGGTTTGTCATGTTAACTCTTTGGAAATTAGCCTCCTTTCATCTTGACACTTTTGATTAAATAATTACCCCTAAAGGCTATGTCATACTTTTTTTGGTAGGAGGAGACTTATCCTCGATATCTTGAATACTTGTTGTTAATTACTCATTAAATCACACATATTTTTGTTTTAATATGTAATTGGACGATGAAAGAAATTTGACCTTCTTAGCATATGTACCTTCCAGTTTATTTCGAGTATTTAGATACCTTTAGAGCTTTTATATTGGAATACAGAGTAAAGTCACTGGATAGATAGTTGTTCCAATGTTTTAAGGTGGCGATGATATAGTATTTATCACATGTTGAGTATCTTGATTGCATTCATTTAATTTTTTTATTGAAAAAAGCAATTGGGTGCCTCTCGCTCAGGCTCAAAACAACACCAATCCTCACATTGGATCCATCTGAGTCAATTTCAATGTCAATTAAAATTAGGTAGATTTTACAATGGAGCTTTAGTCAATGTTTGCTTAAGAGCAACAAAACTATTTTGGGATGTTGATCTCCAACTGAGTTTATTTCCTTATAGGTTGGTTCTAAGGAGCAGCCATCGATCTATATTTTTTCAATAAATTGTTTATTGAAATACATTACACCTTGGAAGCTCCAAACATTAATAAAAGATTGAGGATTTGGCTAATTTGTATTGGCATTGATCTTCTCTTCATCAATCTTGATTTTGATTGTAGAAATGACATCTATCAGCAAAAAATTGACATATTGCCATATTATTTCCTCTGAGTTAATATATTAAAGAGTTTCCTGTATGTGCTGTTGATGATCCTCCAAGGTATAACTATAAACTAGAATGTCATCAATGTATACTTGCATGTACTAGCCAATGAATGGATGATAAATTGTCATAAAACTCATGAATGCGGTTAGACCTTTGAAGTGGCCAAATGACGTTACAATCCATTTGTATAATTCATCTCTTTTATTTGAATGCCATCTTTCATTTACTTCATACGCGTATTTGGTGGTTTCTCACTCCACAAGTCAATCTTAAGAGTAAAAAGATCTTCCATGTGAGAGACCAAATGAATCATCGAATCAAGGAATCGAAAGTTGGGAATCAATATTTTATTGTAATTTTATGTACTGCTTGTCAATCGGTACACATTTGCCACAAGCCATATATCTTTGGATTTAGTTAGGAGGTTATTGACTGGTGTTGGTATCAAGCCTTTGGTAAGGTGCTTTTCTATGCGATGTCATAGTTTATATTCTTTGTGTCACATCCAATATGTAGAATGACGTGGAATGATTATTTAAAGAGTCAAGCCTCTAAAGCTTGTGCATGTCTACCTATACCATTAATTAACATTTTCTTGAAATAGAAATTGAATAATTAGTTGCAGAAATGCTTCTATTCGATATGATTTAGTCAAGCCCAAGCTCATTTTCCTCCTCGTTATTGTTAGTTAAAAAGTAGGAGGATACATGGCTTTTTTGTGTGGATTATCACACATTAAATCAATCTGCAATTCCATACAACTTTTTTATTCCAATAGTTAAGATGATCGATCAAACACATGACTCGTACATCTCCATATTGAATATCATCAAGTCAGTATGGCTATTGAAGACATTCATAAAATAGCCTTTTAGACTTATGAGGGCTATTTTCATTTCACCGTGATTATTTTTGGTCTCTTTAATGCACTTACCAATTTTCAAAATATCATGATTATATTTCTCAAGCTTTATTCACGCAAATTTATTAGCATTTTATTTCATGGTATTTTTGTTCACAAGGTTTTCTTTTCAATCCAAATTGGACATTTCTTGTTTGTTTTTGGTTTTCTACTTGAGAATGAATTTCACTAGCAAATTAACAATTGAATATAGTGTAATATTGTGTCTTTTAAAGACGGTCAACCCTTAACTAAAATGATTGCTACCCTTCTATCATCTATTAAATTGATAACTTTACATGTCTTTTTTGGTCTTGTTGGTTACTATAAAAAATTTGACAGAATTTTGTTAATTTCGTTGACGTTATTAACTGCTCTACTGTAACACGACACTTCCACTGGTTTGCTATAGCCTAACACTCCACGGGCTCCAAAAATTTGACAATGCCTTCACCTCCCCTGAAGAATTGAGAAGTGAGGGAAGCATACATTGAGGTTTCAGGTTAAATTTTCAGAAGGCAGATGAGATAGTAGATAAAACATTCCCCAAAGATTTTACCTTCTTTTTGCGAGGACTTTGAGATCTAGGGTTTGAGGTTTCCAAAAGGCGCAAGTCCCTTTGGTTAGTTACCCCTCCTGATACTAGGGGAGCACTTTCGATTAATGATAGTCATTAAGAAGTTGATTTCTTAGCGTGTGGTAGCAACACATTTAAGATTTAAGATTTATGAAGATCATCACCATGAGCTTAATAGTGAATCGTGGGGAAAATGATGACGAACCCAATCAAGATCCCATGATTCTATCATTCCGGGGTGTTGTGGACCTTGATCTACTTAGTCAGAGATGGTGGTCTACCCAACATGTCCTAATAAATCTTGTCAGCAATCATGCTTTGCTTTGTTCAGGGAACCTTGTAGACTTGGGGGTACATTTCTCTAAGAGGACTAATCTAAGTCGACCTTTGCTGACAAAGAGTTTTGTGTTTTATCAATTATACCCTATGATTTATAACTTCAAGGGGCCAAAATAATATTTGGGAACATACATGCTACAATTGTGACCATTCTACACTGGAGCCTAATGACAAAACCACTTGATAGAGTCTAGTGACCGAACCATCCGGTCAGAGGGCTATGATTGTAATGGTTTTTTTATGTGGAGCCCACTGGCGAAACCATGTGGACAGATGACTCCGACCACTTTCTTACTAGCATAGAGTTATTTTGAGTGTGAATTTAGTAGTATAATTGATATGATATTTGACTCTATGAGAGCTCAAATTAGTATTAGATTTATCCATATAGACAAACAATTGCAGAGGGTGGATCAATTTATTGCTCTTTCGCTTTTAATGATAGATTTCAATTTATGTCATTTTAAAGTTTTCATAGTCTGAAGATTTTTTATTTTAGGTAGACCCCTCTAGTTGGGATATTCAATGAGTATGCCCATCATGAGGGATTTTGAAATGCTTATTTTGGCTTTTGATTGAGCGTATTCATTTAAACATTAAAAATGGTTAGTCCTGTAAACTGCAATAAATATTAGGAGGGGGATCATACTAGCTTCATGGGAGCTCATTCTTGTCCACTAGATTCTATTTAGGGAAATAAATGTAGGACTTACGACCTTGCCCTATAGGAAAGACGCCTAATTTCAGAGCGTGCATAATTTTGTAATTTTAAAATAAGTATTGAAAATGAGATTTATTGATACCTCTTGAATAAATAATTTTTATTGGAGGAAATTTAAATGGACATGTCGGTAGAGTTGTAGAAGATTTCATAAATATTCATGGTGGCAACGGTTTTGGAGTGACTAATGAAGAAAGTAGAGGTATTTAGATTTTGCTTTAGGGTATGATTTTGTTATTACTAATACTTTATTCAAGAAAAGAGATGAGCATCTTATTACTTATAGGAATGAATCAAATAAAACACGAGCTGATTATTTTCTTATGAGAAGAAGTGATCGTCGAGATTGTAAAGATGATAAGATCATTCCAAGTGAGGATTTAAGTACCCAACACATCGATTATTAACTTTGTATTTTAAAATGAAGGTTTTAAAGATGAAAAATACAATGAAATATTAACATAAAATTACCATCCTAAAATTAGATGGGGGAACCTAAAAGACACAAATAAAGTCATCCTAAAATTAGACGGGGGAACCTAAAAGACACAAATAAAATTATTTTTATGAGTAAAATTCAATATGTCAAAATTTGGAATGTTCATGATGAAGCAAATGCTATGTGGGATAAAATAACAAACACTATTCAATAAGTAGCAAAAGATGTACTTGGAGAATCAAAAGAAAATGTTTCTTTAAATAGTTGGTGGTGGAATAATAATGTTCAAGAAAAGATAAAATATAAGAAGTTATGTTATACAAATTGGTTTAAATGAAAAACTTACAGAACTGAAAAAAATATCAAACGACCATCAGGGAGTCTAAAAGAACAGTATGTGACGCCAAAAATTCTGCTTTTAATGATTTTTTTAATAGATTAGATACTAAGGAGGGTGAAAAATATATGTATAAACTAGCCAAACAAAGAGAAAAAAAAGTAAAAATTTAACTCAAGTAAAGTGTATTAAAGATGAAAATCAAAAAGTGCTTTTCTTATAAAAAGATGTCTGAGTGGAGGAAGAGTATTTTGGTCCCCATTTTTAAGAATAAAGGGGATGCACAAGAGTGTGCAAATTATAGAGGAATTAAGTTGATGTGTCATACTTTAAAATTATGGGAGAGGGTAATTGAATATAGTATAAGACGTTTTACGAAGCTTTCTCATAATCAATTTGGATTTATGTCGGGCAGGTCTACTATGGAATTTATACATTTAGTGAGAGGTTTTACATTTATTGAGAGGTTTGATGGAGAAGTTCGAGAGGTTTGATTGAGGAGGTTAGAGATAATAAGGAGGATCTAGATATGATTTTTATTGATTTAGAAAAAGCTTACGATAAGGTTCCAAGAGATATCCTTTGGAGAGTTCTTGAGAGGAAAGGTGTTGATATGACTTATATTCAAGTCATTAAAGATATGCATACAAGAAAATGTTACATATGTGCGAACAGAAGGAGGATTGATCAAATATTTTCCACATCAGGGATTGACTTTAAGCCCATCTTTTTTTACTTTAGTTATGGATGTTCTTACTAGACATTTACAGGAGGATGTACTTTGGTGTATGTTTTTTTGCTAATGATATCCTTTTTGTGGATAAGACGAGAGAAAAAGCCCAGAAAAAACTTGAATTATGGAGGCCTACATTGGAGTCTAAAGGCCTTCATTTGAGTAGAACTAAAACTGAATACATGGAATGTAATTTTAGTAGTAGTAGTACTAGTGACAAAATTGTAACTTTGAGTGATCAAATTATTAAAAGGCATGAATGATTTATATATCTCGGGTCTGTTGTTCAAAATAATGGTGATATAGATGGGGATGTTAATAGTCTCAGGTCTGTTGTTCAAAGTGATGGTGATATAGATGGGGATGTTAATAGTAGAATTCAAGTTGGCTGGATGAAGCGAGATAGAAAATTACTGCTTAGATTGAAAGGAAAATTTTATAAGACGGTGGTGAGATCTGCAATGCTCTATGACGCTGCATGTGGTCTTTAAAAGAGAAGCATAATACTAAGTTAAGTGTTGCCAAGATGATTAGGTGGATTAGCGGCTTGACGCTTAGAGACAAAATACGAAATGAATATATCTGGGATAAGGTTGGTGTAGCTCCTGTGATGGACAAAATTAGAGAAATTTGTCTTAGATGGTTTGGTCACATTAAGCGTGGACCATCTGATGATCCAATTAGGAGAGTAGATGCTTTAGATTCGACTTATGTTGTGTTTTAGATTCGACTTATGTTAAGAAAGTTAGAGGTAGACCTAGGAAGACTTAGGCTTATTGTATAAAAAACGATCTTAATTTATTAGAACTAAATGAAAATATGACACTAAATAGGACACAATGGAGAAGAAGGATTCATGTAGGCTTTGTTGTTGTTGTTGCTGTATTGAAAATGAGATTTAGCAAAACTTTGAAATATATATGCATGCATTTTAATGCATGTTTGACTTTGGTATAAACATGCAATTATCACGCTTAACATTCTGAGATGCTTAAGATTGAGAAATTTGAGGCATGCGACAGAGTACATGCAAATATCTAGGACTTGTGAATTTGAATTGATTTTTAGAGGTTCTTATTGTTATTTGCTCGAAAGTGTTATCATTAAAGAAAATGTAAATGTTTCATTTAGGTCATTATATTTGCCTTATGCCTGCTTGTGTAAAGGAATTGCAAATCTAGTGGCGAGTGATTGATCTAGTGTGTTCATCACAAGTTTTATTAAAGCTTGTTGACGAGCCTTCGAGTGTCTTATAAATCTGCTTCATATTTTTTTTCATGCCTCGTGTACATTTATAAGTGAACTAATGAGTTTGTTACATGTTTCATTGGAGCCCGCTGACGAGTCATCGAGTCTTTTGAGCATGCAAGATTTCATATTTGGGATCCTAGAATTTACCTTCTATCTGCTATTACAAAAGTAGTGCAGATCCGATGAAAATTTAGTACATTAGGATCTTGATTATGCATTCAAAATGATGAATTTGAGTTCTTATATTATTTACTTTCTTCTTTCTTATTTTTTTATTTCAGTCTCTCTCTTTATGCTAACCAAATCATGTAAAATTTGACCGACGAATTGTCTCTTGATCAACTTGATTTATGTAAAACTTATTGGGGTCAACACACTCCTTCACCCTTTTTGAAAGGAATCTTGCCAACCCAACACTATTTCACCTTTCATATTTTTTCAAGAATTTTGCAGTAAACATATATGCATCCAACTTAAGCATTGGTGCTATCTTGTGCAAAGCCAACAATCCCATCACTTTCTATGACAATAAATTGAATCCTAAGTTGCATCAATCTTCACAAACGTCCAATGAATTTTTTTAATCATTTAGATAAATGGCAAAAAGAAGTCAGTATCCATTTGGCTCAAACTTTTCCACTCACACTAATCAAAATACATGCAAACTGATGTTGAAGTTCATCCAAATGCCTGAACAGCAACAAAAAAAAACTTTTTGGTCACAACTTCTTGATTAAATATAAGCTGGATTAGGAAAACAAAGTCGATGGCATCGTTACATTCATCTCCACACCTTTTAATTATCATCATCACATTGATTCTAGATTTCCTGCAACAATTGAAACCGGAAACAAAATCTTTATCACAATTGAAGGAACTCTAAGCTTTGTATTGAAACAATCCTAGTCTTTTATATGATTCACAATGGGCTTATAAAAAAATAAGTTTGCATTTTCATTCCTTCCTGTTCCACAATGAAACGGGACTTGTTCAGGATGTACCACTGTAACATTGTCTTATTGGCTTCTGCAACCCACTTCATTGTCTTTGAGAAATTCCATTGGCCTAATCTTAACATCTACGTTCAAGAGTTTGTCAAATTTTGCCAGGCCATGAAATATCAACCTCTAGCACCTGTGGGACTCTAATTGCTCCTATTTTTGTCTGTTGCTTGGGATGTCATATTTATTGACTACATTATCCGCCTTCTATCATCTGATGGCAAATCAAACAATGTTGTTATCATCAACAAACTAACAGAATATGTGCATTTTATTTCCTTAACACCTCTGTTCTTAGCTTCTATATTGGCCTCATTTTTCATATTGAGATGTTTCTTGGCACCATGGTATCCCAAAGACAATAATTTTTTATAACGAGTCATGATCAAATTTTGTTTAGCATTATTTAAGGAAATGGTTGCTTCATTACAACACTACCCCATCACTCATAAACCAATTTTGTAATTGGCAAATTGAATTAGGGCCTTGAACAATATTTATGTTGCTATCGCATGGACAGCC